CATATTGATACAATTACGTGTCACATAAAATTCAATAAATTTAGATACAAGTTTTGAGAACCTACAATAAAACATTCTTTTGCTTCTTTGATTTTTTCCCAGAATTATATATTTTCTTCTCTTTTCATACATATCCAGTAGCTCATTACGAACCTGCTTTTTAATGCACAATTTTTAATGTATTGTTTGTCATTAACAATTAATTTCTCTTATAAACATCCATTAAACAACACTCAAGAAATAAAATAAAACTAACTATTCACAGGCCTTCATTTCATTTATTCACCTTCCATAAATCATGTTGACAATACATTCTCATGCGGATGTGGAGATCAAAAGCAGGTCTGTATATATTTCAAAATAAAACTTTCTTTGTAGTGTATTATTATTATTATTATTATTATTATTGTTGGAGGGGGTGCGTTTCCCCATGCACTGCGACTAATAGTCTATTGTACATCCCCGTTTAATATTCTACCAGTCTCCATACCCTGCCGGTACTGGTGCTCACTATCAGCCCCGTTCAGCCAGTGAGACTGGCTGCAATACTCGATGCTTACCCATCTACCGGAGGCATTGGAAACTACTTGAGTGGGAAACTTTCTACCTAATAATTTTGGTCAGAGGTCTCCTAGAGACATGAGGATCTTTTATGTGCCGTAAATCTATGACATGGGACCCATGGCTTAAAGTCCCTCCTGGAGGACTTGTTCCCTGAATTTTTCCGCCCTTAAAAATTCCACGACCTCCGCCGGGTTTGAACCCGCGTACCTTGAGTCATGAGGTGGGAATGTTACCCTTAGACTATGTATTGTAACTGGCAGAAAAAGGTACCCAGGACCATATATTTTGAAAATTCAAATGGAAATTATCAATGGTCAGTTGTAAGTGTAAGCTCTGTCCACTTCATTCAGAGGAGAAGCCTCTGGAATGAAATTAATTGTAATTTGATTTTGCTCTACAGAAGTGTAGACTGAGGAACAGAAAACCCACTGCCCCCGCCAGAAATTAACTGTGGCTGTCCAACCCTCTTTACCAATTGAGCCTATCTTGCAATTACTTTATGCATGTGTATGAAACAGGTAGCATTTATGTTGAAATTAAGCGGCCTCCGTAGTCTAGGGGTAACGTTCCCACCTCATTACTCAAAGGACGCGGATTCAAGCCTGGCGGAGGTCGTGGAATTTTTAAGGGCGGAAAAATTCAGGGAACAAGTCCTCCGGGAGGGACTTTAAGCCGTGGGTTCCGTGTTGTAGATTTATGGCACGTAAAAGATCCTCATGTCTCTAGGAGACCTCTGAGCAAAATTAGGCAAGTTTCCTGCCCAAGTAGTTTCCAATGCCTCTGGTAGATGGGGGAAGTATCGAGGTACCGAGGGCCGACCTCGTTGGCTGAACGGGGCTGATAGCTCGCACCAATACCGGTAGGGTATGGCGACTGGTAGAATATCAAAGGGGGACGTACAATAGACTATTAGTCGTGGTGCATGGGGAAACCCACCCCCTGCAATAATAATAATAATAATAATAAAAATATGTGGAAATTAACATTCAATAGTATTAAAGTATGTCTGACAAGGGCACCGAATGTACCTCACTAGTAGAGTCAAAAACTATAACAGGGGTTGAAATTCTGGGATCAGAAGATGGAAGGAAGGAAGTTGGAAGGTACATTAATTATCATGTAAATGAGTAATATGGGTGTAACAACAGCAGCATATTATGTTTGTGTGAAGGAACTGAGGAGGACAAACAGCAAGGAGAAAGTATTTGAGAGTAATGAAATACTAGTTAAAACTGTGGGCAACAGATGAGACAAATCCTTTTGGGCAAACGCTATGACAGCAAAAGAAGGGGGGGGGGGATAACAGCATGGACAAAACTAATAGAAACTGGAAACTATGAACATGACAGTACTTGGAAGAGCAGAAGGAAAGGTAATAAGAACATCTGAATAAGAATAAGTAAATTATGTGTTGATACAGCGATAAAATTCGACAGTTAAGACTGTAATGTGTGGTACTGTTGCTATGCAACAATTGTGTGAAGGAATACGCGTTGCTTGGTAATGGCTCAATAAACACATTCCTGAGGAAACGAGATGCATAAAATATAGTTATAATGGAAATGGGGGTGCTTTCTGCTGGGTCTGCCCCAGGGGCTATATAGCAAGGACTAACTGAGTGAGTTCAGTTCAGCTGAGTTGAGGGAAGTGAAGTGAAGTAGTTGGCTGGTGAGTGAGAGAGTTCAGTTGAAGGTTGGCAGTGCAGCTGAGCTCTACAAGCGAGGCTGAGAAGAAATGGCGGTATAGCTGAGTTGACAGTTGACAAGAGTTCAGTTATGTTCACCAGACAGTAAAGGCATGGGTGTGGGAGGTTGAAGAATTTCCACCGTCAAAGCTGTTGCTAGAGAATGGATGTTCAAGACAGCAAGCTGGAAAATGGCTTAGAGGGTGGTGTGGTGATTTGTATAGTGTGAAGACTAGAGATAGCACTGTAATTACTTGTAGTTCCAAGTGGTGCATGTAAGTGGTCAATAAATCCACTCACCAATCCAAGCCCCATCTATAGTCACACCCTGAAATTGACAATAAGAAGGAGTTCACAGACAGTACATAAGAGTTTTCAGAGCAACTGGTGGAAGGATGCATATACAGAACTAAGTACGGAGGGTCACAAGAGAAACAGTATGGTGGAAAATAGGGGTTTGGAGACTGAAGGGCATCGGGAGCAATGATTAGTGGGCTTATGCCTTATGTAGCAAAGAGGAAGACTGGATACAATATTATATTTAAGCATCCTGTTGCACTCTACACGATAAATGACACAAATTCCGTCCCAAGTGCAAACAATATATATTATATGTCTTTGATCTTGTTCTTTCTACACTACATGTTTCGGCCTCTATCGGCCATCATCAGGTGTATATTCTTAACATTGCTGCCACACTGACCCCAGTCTAAAATTTAACATTTAAAAACACAATGTCATATTCTTCGTATTATCAACATCTACATCGTTGATATATGTCTGGTATGTAGATTATGTTGCACACGTCAAANGCAACCACACAAGAAGACTACATTAAATAACACCTGTACAGTGTGAAAACAAGAACTAGCCGCTCCAGCACTTAGACATAGGGCGTGTAACCCTAAGAATTTTAAATTTTAAATTTAAAATTTAGAGAAAAAATTTTAAAAGGTTTTGAAAAACATCATAACTAAAGATTTTTAAAGTGCTACTACAAGAATATCAAATTTGACGTGTGCAACATAATCTACATACCAGACATATATCAACGATGTAGATGTTGATAATACGAAGAATATGACATTGTGTTTTTAAATGTTAAATTTTAGACTGGGGTCAGTGTGGCAGCAACGTTAAGAGTATACACCTGATGATGGCCGATAGAGGCCGAAACATGTAGTGTAGAAAGAACAAGATCAAAGACATATAATATATATTGTTTGCACTTGGGACGGAATTTGTGTCATTTATCAGGAAGACTGGAGCCACATACTATGGTTCAGAGGAACGAGGATTTGGAGGGATGAGATTCTGGACAGGAGATTCAGGGATATATGAGTATTTGGAGGATAGCAATGTGCAAGAATAAAGAGAACTAGCAGAAAATAGGAATATACATGATAAATATAAGGAGGAATGTGAGAGGACAGTAAGATAGCATGAGAATGAAGCATAAATAAATTCAGATGATTTGCAATTAGCAATTAGAAGACAGTTTCATACCCTGGTTGCCTTACCCTTTGGTAAAGCACCACCTGTCCCCACTGGATAGGCGAGAGATATGTACAAGTATAATGAAAATGTTTAGGTGCAATACATAAAAGACATGTTTTGGAAACAGTAATTTAAGTGGGATGAAGGAGTGTTGGACCAGGGAGTTGAACTCCAACATCCTGAAGCGTAAAATGTAACAGACTCAATAAAGCACTCAGTTATATAGGCCTGTACAAATTATTAAGTGAGGTTTCTGCTCACACTATATTAACATTCTCTGAAAACTGTTATAAAAATTGGTGGGCTCCAAATGATCTAACTTGTCCCCAGACTTGCTCTGGTTTATGGATAATCCTTTGTGCATACATAATGGAATGGCAATTGAGCAGTAAGCACTTCATCCACTGATATAATAATCTGCTTACTCTTACGATTACAACCTTCTGCAATGTGATGACATGAAGTCTATTGCCACACAACACGGTGACAAAATACAGAAGACAGTAATTTTAAAATTCAATGCAATGAGAATCTGAGAGCTGGCATACTCCTTACTTTTAATTGGTGTTCAACGTCAGCCTCAAGAGAAGACGCTTATGTGCAAACAATTATGTCAAAACAAACTCCGTTGCTTTAGTCCACAAGTCAACTATACTGACCGAGTGACCGCCGCTTGTCGGCGAAGTTAATGCCAACTTTAGTGGATAGAGGGTGTCACGTAGTCAGCGCAAGAAATCCCCATGGCCGTTAATTTCGGTTTCCTAGACTGGAGACGCTACTTTTCCATTCAAGTAGCTCCTCGATTATCCTCACGATGCCAAGTGGACCCCGTTCCAGACCCAGTACTCAGAAATCTCGTAGCGCCGGGACCTCTGCATCTGTAGCCAGGAACTCTTGACTACTAGACCACAGAGGCGGCCATAAACAATTATGTAAGTAACTATATTCATGGTACTGGTTCCCTCTTGAAAATTTAATAGTTGCTCAGCCAGTCAACAAATTCTCTGCCCTTTACGGAAGTCAGAAACAATTAAACTTCTTTCATAATCACTCCATACACTGAACATTTAGCACCTTGTTAAAAGTGACTTACTTCAGGTTATCCAGATTGTGTTTTTGCTCTTCGCTGACAAAAGCACTTGTACTTTCTGAAGTAGGCTACTTAGCCTGTTGGTGTGCTCATCTGACAAGGACATTACAATATTTGCACTTTAAAAATATACTAATTAAAAAACAAAACTGTTGAAACTCTCACCTGATAAGGATACATCATGTCATGAGGCCCTTCCATCTTGTATGCCCCATTAGGACCACCATCTCCCATAGGTTCGCTACTATTAGTTAAATTCATAGAAGTGGCTACAGCTGAACCCAAATTTGAAGAACCACCTGCAATAAGAATTACAAATATTTATTTGAAGTGTACAAACAACATTACCACCTCAATTACAGAAAAAGGGTATAAACCCATTCTTCAAAAATAATTTTGCACTGAAGCCACACACAATTCCTATCAGTTTGACTCTCACACAGACTGTTCGCCAACATAAGCACAACACACTGCAGAATTATAATCAAGGAGGGAAAAAAAGTCCAGGCATGAAGGTAAAGAGGGAGACAAATCTGCTTCTCTAAGGCAGTTCTGCTGTTGCGTTAAAAAAATTTATAAGAGACAGAGCAAGTTGTTCACATTAAGAGTTCAAAACAGAGAATTATTCAGATCGGCCTTGGAGTGCTCTTTTAAAATGAAACCTGTATACTGTTTAAAGAAAAATCAACAAAGATACTGCAAATGAGAGTAAACTCCACCGCCATCACAAAATTGTGAGATGAACTGCAACTAGGCTACGGGTGAATATGGAAAGATGAAAAGGGAACTTATACAGATTTGAAAGAAGTTTTCTGGTTTTTTCACTACTCAGTCATTTCTTTTCTGCATTTCACTGTATAATTACTACTTTCTTATACAAAGCATAAATTGTGTATTCATCGATGAGGAGTTCCTAACATTAAATTATTGCAGTCTTCTTATTTACCTGTTAATTTCTGGTATAATAATGGTGATACTCAGATTCAGAAAAACATTCAGAACTCTTACAAGATACTTGTGTGCGTACACAAGGCTGAAAGAGGGATTCATCATTTTTATTAATATCTTTTTTCATAAATTTATGAAGAGATAAATGAACTATCTCAGCTAGACAAGAGTTCAGTAGAAAAAAGAGCTATTGTACTGGACAGAGATGATGCACTGAGAACTATAAGTCATACCCAGTACCTTCTGGTTAAAGTGCCAAACTAAATTCACAATGAAAATTACTGTAAAGTCCATTATCGGGGGAGGGGGGAATTCTGAATAGCTCACACAACCAATTTGCCTCACACACTTTACATCTTCACCAATATGAAAGTGGATTCCAGTGAGCGCTGCTTTCAAGGGTCCAAAGTGTAGGAAGTTACTCAGTGAAGGGTCTAGTGTCATTTGACAAGTGTCAGAGGCCTTATGAGAGACTGACAAGACACGAAAGAAATTTACATGTCCTACAATCACATCTTGCAATGAGGCAGAAAGGGGTCCATTGCATGAGTATAAAAATATTTAACAGTCTGCCCGACTATTTAACTGATTTAGTACATGATAAAAAATAGTTTATAAAAGAAATAAGGGATGTCCTAATACATAATCCGTCATGTACTGTTGATGAATTTTTGCTCTTCTGTCGGGATCAACAGCTAAGGAATAGAGGGGGAGTGCATGCTGACTGATGGATGTCCCACAGTAGGCATCAATATAGACATTAAGTGTAAATATAATCTGTATTTTATGTATATATTTAGATGCAAGCTGTTTGCATTTATGTTTGTTTGTTATTGTGATATGGCATGTTAGAATTGTAAAGATGTACTGTTGTTTGTAAAGCTTGTGATATGTTTCATATTCAGTGCAGATTACACTTATGAATATCCTGAAATGCAGATGTATGTATGTATGTACATATGTCTGTATGTATGTATGTATGTATGTATGTATGAGCTATGAGTTTATGTGTATTTCTGCTCACTTATGCTCATGCCAAAGTGCATGTGCACTGGTTGCATAAAGGTCAACATAAAAATAACCAAATAGAAAAATAAAAACTTCAGGCCTGATAGTATGTTATAGTAAAAATAACTGTTTTTTTACTAAATTATCATCCTTATGCTGCCACTAGTAACACAATATAGGTAATATGGCAATAAGGGATGGTGATTATGGGGAATGCCCACAACAATTAAAATGAGAAGTACTTAAATTCTAACAAACACAGACATGTAAGTCATGAGTTATAACATGTTAATAATGATTTAATGTGCTATAAATTATGAAAGAAGATAGTGTGACATGTTGCGCAATGGAGGACACCCCCTCCCTCCCAAGAGGTGGCATGGCAGCTCTGGCCACGGGGACGTAGCAGTGAGTCAGTGCCCCCCCCCCCCCCCCCGCACTGTGACATGGCACAGCTTCCTGCTGTGACGTGGCATGCAACGCCGCTTTTGACATGGGCAACAGGCAACAGTGAACGGCATAAAAGCCGGCTAAGCAGCAGTTGCGGAAAGAAGAACTGGACGTGTGTGTAATTGTGTAATTGGGAGTGCGTGATACAGGGACACCTACACAGCTCCCGTACTGTGAATATGTGTAGACTACTGAAGAGATTATTGCGAATAGGGTTATAAAGTGTGAAACCTCGCAACAGAGTGAAGAGATTATTGCGAATAGGGTTATAAAGTGTGAAACCCTGCACCGGTGTGAAGAGATTATTGCGAAAAGGGTTATAAAGTGTGAAACCCCGCAACAGTGTGAAGAGATTATTGTGAATAGGGTTATAAAGTGTGAAACCCCGCAACTTTGTTATAATTAATTGTAGCTGAGACTTGTAGGTTGTTAAATAACCCAATTAACAATCCGAACGGCGTCTTCAGCGACTAAACACGTGACACTGGTGTCAGAAGTGGGATATGAACTTCAACACGCCTCGACGAATAACTGAATTTACGAAGGCATAAAGTGTTACCCTGAAAAAGAAATGGACACACAGCAACTATTGGAATTCTTGCGGGAAAGAATTGAGGGCCGAGAGAGAAGCTGCCGAGGAAAGAGCTGACGGCAGGTGGAAAGCCTGGCGAGAGAAGATGGCCGCCATGCGAGAAGAGTTGGTCCCAGAAACGGAAGCCACCCAAACAGAAACAAGAGCTATCCAAGCAAGGACGGAAGCCATGCGAGAGGTAATGGGCAACAGCCGCACGGAGATTTTGTACGCATTTCACCCCGAAACAGAGGAAAAGACGATAGCCTTACAAGAAATGGAGACACGTCTACTAGAAGAAAAGCCGGCCTTGACGGACACGAAACCTGCAGCGGCACAAAAACAAGAGGATCCCATAGTAATACCGGTCGGAGTGATGATGGCCTGCCAAGAAATGGAGGCACGTCCAGAAGATGAAAAGCCGGCCTCAGTGGACAGGAAACCTGAGGAGGCAAAACAACAAGAGGTACCAGCAGAAGATGCTGAAGTAATGCCGGTCGGATAACCGAAGAAGAAAAGGCATAGGGACCGAAACAAGCGACGAAATATGAAGAATCTGACACGGGAAAATTGTGGACCCCAGAAGAAGTTGGCCGTAGCCCGCAGAGGGACGAGCTGCCGTGCGGAAATGGCACGGCAGACGAAAACCAGCAGGAACGTGTCCCACCATGCAACAGTGGCATGGCGTCGGAGGAACATCTTCAGGAAATGTTGGACCCCGGGACATTATGAATCCCGGATGAAGTCGGCTGCCACCTGCAGTAAGATATCCCATTGCGCGACAGTGGCATGACGTTGGAGAAATGCCTTCAAGAAGGAAACTCCCCAGGGAACCTTTGGATGCTGGAGAAAGGACTTGGTGCCACGGTCTCGTGCCAGCAAGTGGCGGGAAGACCAGGAAGAACGATGACATCAGCAAGTGCAAACAACACATCAAGTACCGTTACGTCGACATGAGGAACTTCCGAAGAAAGACTTGATCAAGGACTGGACATTGTGGAGGTGTCGACCCCCTCAAAACGAAAAAGAAGCAGAGCACAGAAGAGGAGCCGGTAAAATAGAAGCACCCGCCTCCCGAGAGAGTGAATGTGCCATGGGCGAAAGTGAAGGGGTGAATGTGAAACAACTGCATCTTCTAGGCAAGTTAGAAGGAAACCGCTCAAGACGAGCTGGTCTGAAGAGGGGAGCGGTTGTAACGGCCGGATAATAGTCGCTGCGAGGAGTAGCCGAAGCAACAGGAGACCCACCAAGCACATCCTTGGAAGAAAAGGAACGGGGGTGCACCGTTAGGTTATTCGGGATGAACAGCCTTAAGGATGGAGCATTGTGACGTGTTGCGCTATGGATGACGCCCCTCCCTCCCCGACAGCCATGACATGCCGAGCGGAGCTGAAGTGAGCCAAGTCCCAGCACGCTGGTCGCTATGCAAAGCGAGTAACCAGCGGTTGCTAAGCAAAGCGGGTAAACAGTGGTTGCTAGAGATGATGGTAATGACAGCGGTACCCATTATGTAACAGGCAAACACGGCGTCAGACAACAGTGGTGCCTATTACGTAACTGTTTTCCCGTTGTCCGGCTGAGGGTTTATAAGAGCACTACACTGCCTACAGAGTGACTTAAGAGTATCAGTCGTCAAAGTGTGTTCTCAAGGCAGCAGTTACGAGTTAGCCAGGAAGTCAACCAGTCAACTGTAGCCTAGCATTTGCAGTCTAGTAATTGCAATACTGCAGATAGCAGTAATTGTGAATCTGTGAATTGTGTGATTGTAAGAGCAAATGTGAAATAAAATTCGCTATATCCAATAAGGCGTGAAGTTATTTGTCGCGTTATATACCCAACATGTGACAATATTTTACAGTTTTTTACTCCTTAACTGATAACAAAGGTCAAATTCAGTGCTAAACATACAGAGACAATCCTTCTGCATACTTTGCCAGGCTATACACTAGCTGTTACATCATGTATGATGCAAACACTACTTAAAACTTCACAAATGACATCAACATTTGATTCTCATTCTTTTTCTCAATAAATACAAAAACGACTTCTACTTGGAAGATGTTTACATGCGTAATATATGTCAGACTATTTCCCCACATAGTCATCAACCAAGAGCTTCCACTGCTAAATATTTCTAACAGTTTAAGATTGGACAGAATATATATTAAGGGAGACATTTGGTGGGGGGGGGCACCAATAAAAAATACATACAATTTGTTTCTTGCTTATTCCTTTACTTGTCCTTTACCTGGAAACATGTTTTAACCTTTAGGTCATCATCAGACTGATATTAACACAGACATAAATGTACACACATAATGATGTATGAATGCACACACATTAAGTTTGCCAGTCAGCTTATCATGTTTAATAACAGAACTTAAAAAAATTAATTTTCTTCAACATGAGAATAAAATTTTATGTACAACATCCCTAACTGTATGTAATTAGGTATCTTTTATACTAATAATTAAAAACATAAAACTTACATTAAAAATTTTTTAAATTGGTCATTATGATGCTGTCAGTATTGAGACTATAGAGCATTAGTAAATTCAATTAGTAAACATAATAAACATACAGCAAACTACTTCAGTATGTAAATATATCAGCAAAATACACACACACACATACGCACACATGTGTAATCTGTAAAGACTTACGTACAAACACTGGTTGTGTAAGAGAGTACAACACTTTGTGCATCTGTATGTGAGTGGGGATGGAGAAAGAGGAGAGATGGGAGGAATCTACCTTTCCGGTTCTGAAACCTTATAGAAAAAAATTACAAATAAATCAAACAATAATATAATTTATCAATATCTGAAAAGTGAAAGAAAATATGTACTTTTAAACATATAAGACCTAATCACTATAAGGGGATATGGCTGAACAACCTGTAATAAGAGGCTACTCACTCATATTTGGATATGGCGTGGTGTTGTTGAGATCTCCTATGGGGGGTGCAAGTGTAGCATTGTGCAGCAGTACTCCACGTGTGTTGTCAGGTGTGTATGCACTGCTTGGTCCTCCACTGTAGTTGTGGTGATGGTGGTGGTGATGTGCAAAAGGGTGTGACATGGCTGAACCATCTCCTGGGCCTGGCAGACTCAGCAAATTGGCCAAATCTTGCCAGCGTTGCTCCATGCTCATTGTTCTCACAAATGGCATGCGGCCCTACAACACACAACATGCGTTTCATTAGTGCAGGGCTAACCAAAATATAAATAGCTCTAAGTCATTTTGCTTCCTGTTTTAACAAGTCACCTGTCAAACCTTCCAAAGAAGCTATTATATCTGACATAGGTGTCCAGTATTTATTTGACTTCTTGGCACGACATATTCTCCCATTTACTCTGAATTCAGAAATATACCAATATTCATACAAATATGGCGAACATCCACATAAATTTCTTATGAGCACAGTAGCTACTCAGGTGCCATAGCCACAGTCTGAATCCATGCCCCTGCATGAAACAAACAAACTATGCTGGTATCCAGTTTGTCTGTTATTACTTTTCTCAAATGTTGAAAATATTTCATCCTGCTACATGAAAGCTCTTCTACATCACACATTTTCCTAGAGTCTAGAGTCCTTAACATGTGAAGTACATGTACTTCATACTTTTACTGTATTAATCCAATAGCTGACTTTGCTGGGAGATCTCAGCACTGATGGGAGAATATTAAAATGACAGTAATGGGCAAATAATATTAAAATGGGTCTCAATATATAAGGGGATGGATTGGATCCATATTTGACTAAGGACAGGGACTAGTGGCACACTCTTGTGAACATGGTAATGAACCTTATGGTTCCATAAAAAGTGGAGAATTTCTTGACCAGCTGTGCAAGTATCAGTTTCTGAAGAAGGACTCTGATCCAGGGAGTTAAGTCAGTTATACACGTATATTGCACTACTATGCAAAACATTATGCAAGGAATCAACACTGTACACAGAAAAAAATTCTATTACATCACTATAATACAGTATTTGACACTGTCTGGGGAAATATGAAATTACTTTTTTTTTTTAATTTTAGAAGATAGAACCTGAAATACTGAAGTTCATTAAGTCTAATTACTTGTGCTGGATTATTTCATGGACTATTTCAGACATATGAATCATGCTACCCGTCATGTCAAAACTAGCAAAATTATCACGGGAAAACCATAGTTCTTTAATTGTTCCTACACTGAGCACAGAGATGAGACATGGCATCCAATCACTGAATGATGTCCCACAGGGATCAATACTTGGTCCACTGCTTTTTTACTTTACATTAATGACTTACAAAAAGCAATAAGTGATAATGCAGAAATCATTCTATTTCTGGACACTAGTGTAACCATTACTTGTCTTAACCTTATAAATTTTAATAGCGTTAACATAGTTTTTCAAGATATAAATAGATGGTTCACCATTCGTTTATAGTCACTAAATGTCTATCAGACACTATGCAATTTATAACTAAGACCACAGTTTTAATTGATTTAAATATAATGCATGGGAACAAGAAAATAGTTAATATTTGTAATACAAAATTACTTGAACTAACATTGAACAACACATTTTCTGGAAGACTCATATAGATAGAGTTGTGTCCAAACTAAGTTCAGCTTGCTTCGGGATTAGAACAGTCAAGCCATTCTTGTCCCACAAATCATTGAAGATGGTATATTTTTCCTATTTTCAATCGATCATGACTTATGGACTAATATTTTGGGGAAATGCTAGTATAGCAATATATTTTTTAGACTACAAAAAAGAATTATCAGAATTATGGTGGGGATCTGAGACAGAGATGTAACGCCGCAAGTAAATTCAGGTGGGTCTCAGATTTGGCTCAGATGTTTGATGGAAAATCTTTTACACTCACAAGTACAACTATTCACAACTTCACTATCACAATTACTTGCACTGTTAATCTTGATGAAGCGTCTTGTCCTTTTTTTTTTTAATTTGCATAGTGGGGGGTGGAGTCCATTTGGGTCCACTCAGCACGGCGGCCACTGACTGGCCTACTGTAGCTGCCCCAGGTGATTATGATGGAGAATTTGGTTAAAAGAAGATTGGCAGGGGAAACCGAAGTACTCTGAGAAAAGCCGCATACCCCAGCGCCAGTTGTCCGCCACAAATCTCACTTGACCAGACCTGGGATTGAACCCAGGCCTCCGAAGCCAGCGACTTACCTGTCTTCTGTCCTTTATTGGACGCGAGCTTGCTTCTGCTCTAGTCAGAGCTACACTAAAAACCGACTGGTCTCGTCGAAGCTGGACTCTTATAATGTGCAATCAGACTGAACAGAGCACACCATGTTCAAGGGTTCAGTTTTATCTGCTGGTAGTATTCGTTTCCATGGATATCCTTCCATTTCTGGGGAAATACATTTGTTGTTTAAGCTCTTTCTAGGCAACGCCCTGCTGGTATTGCGTTCTCACTGAAGTATATATGTTTATCGCAGCCGTTGCCTATCAATGGACGTCTTTTCGCCCGGCTTTTTGGCGGCACGTCACATTGCTCCCTTCTTAAGGTTGTTCATCCCGAGGAGCCTAATGGTGTTTCCCTTTCATCTTCCTACATCTGCTCCCCTCCTTCAAGGGTGCTTGTCCCGAGCAGTCCCATGGTACAGCGTTTCACCTTTCCAATAAAAATCTTAACAAACTAATTGTAACATATTAAGACAGCCACTGTAGTTGTTAAAGCATTAGATTTTATAACCACTGTATTTTATTAACATTATATGTATATATTTTAGCATTCAAAAACATATTGTAACAGTGGCTTCCGATTGTCTTGATGTTCCTCTGAGGATGGTCTGTAAAGACCGAAACATGCAAGGGATGAAGGATTGAAATAAGACAAATCTTTACTAGTCACACTTGACGGAACTGTTTAACCTCTTATGATATACATTTATATATTTTAAGCTATGTTTTCAATAAGATATTACTGTCAAGCTGATGAGTCCTGTATGCCTTTTAAATTACTAAATTATGTATAATTATTATTTCCTTTATGAATGTAGTTGTAAGGTGATGAGTTCTATATTGGATGGCTTTGATAAGCCAGTAGGGATCTGTGGAACTACAGAATACTGAATACAACACATTACTGAAGCTTAACAGTAAAATGCTATAACAATGTTAATAATCAATAACACTTCTGAATCTAGCAGACTCACTACAATAAAATGTAGAATCATGAAGCTCTGTACATGATGAATTTTTTAGAAGTATTCAATTTCTATCACTGATTCACTTTCAGGAAAAAGGAAATTAATGACCTGGCCATCAAACAAGATATTTCAGTCTGATCAACCACTGTAAATAGCTGCATGGATTTTGCATTGTGCAAATGTTACATTAACACATTAAATGGTTCAGTTACATTTTGAGGGATTATTGTATGTTATGCATTTCATTTTAAACACCGCACTAGAAGCAATTCATATTTGCAAATTTAGAGTGAAGTTCTAAATTGCCCCTTGATCCATGATGTGTATGTATTGACTGTCTTCTAGTGCACATAATCTCACCTGTTTCACACCCATACAAAACCACAGGCAAAATTATAGTTTTGTAATTCTTATTTTTGGGTTTCTAGACAGCAGACGAGAATACAAAAGGTTCTGGACTGAATGGTAGCAAGCATTACCCAAATTCAGTCTCCTTTTAATTTCCTCCTGTAATTGATGACTTATTATGCCTATGCCCATTCTATCATGTCATATGGTATAATATTCTGGGGTAATTCATCTAATAGTGACCAAATTTTCATAATTCAAAAAAGAATAGTTAGAATAATAATGAGAGCGGGTAACAGGGACTCTTGTCGACCAATTTTCAAAGCATTAAACATTCTTCCATTCTATTCACAATATATTTTCTCAATATCTGTTTTTGTGGTTAAGAATATGGACAAGTTTGTAACAAATTCAGATATTCATGGCATGCACACTAGACGGGGTTTAGATTTACATTATCCAACCTGTAAACTGACTAAAGTGCAAAAGGGAGTGTTTTATAGTGGGATTAGGATATTTAACAACTTGCCATGTAGAATTAAAAGCTTGTCAGAGGACATTAAGAAATTCAAATATTCCCTAAAAAAATTTTTGCAGGTGGGCTCTTTTTATTCCTTACATGACTATTATGAATGGAAATCAAGGAATGATTGTGCTTCCTATAGATAAAGATTGCGCCTATTATTTGTCACATTTAGAATATAATATTATCTGTCGGTTTTGTTTATAATTGTTGTGAATGGCACCTGATTTTTGATGTTGTTTGTTTCGGTGTCGTGTCTGTGATTTGGTTTGATGTGTTACTTGTTTGTGTTCTACAACTGTTAATGTACTACAATTATATGTGGCCTTTTTAAATGTCTTGGATATTTAATTTTTAACAATTTATCATTTTAAATGTACTTTTTATTGACATGTTCTATATCTCAAGGCAGCACTGCCAATTGTAGATCTCTGGAATGAAATAAATATGTATGTATGTATGTAACTCAGAACACTGCAATATAAATTTTGCCCACCATGAAAACTTCAGAACTTGTATGATATTATTTTCCATTTCAGCAATGAAGTGAGATATTTTCTGGACTTGCAGAATAGGAGTCATCACACAGTTTGGTCTCGATGATTAACAAATGCAATTCCACCCCCCTTCCATTTTGTGGGCTAAATATGAAGCTTTGCAGCAATGAATCTGATCTAGCTTATATTAAACAAAGGCAAGATTATGAAAAATATTAGCCAACAAATCCATTTCCTATATGTTTCATGTCCTTCATACTTCGGCCAGACACCAATGTACCAGTATGTATCAAACTGACGTATTGCTCTCTTTGAAGGATATGTTTAATACACACACAGAAACATCATTACAATCCAGCCTCTTCAGCAGTAGAAATCCACTAATGTAACTTTCTAATGGATGACTTCTGACTAACCAAATATCAATTGCAGTTAAAAGAAGTATGAGCCTTTCCCTTTTCCAACACAACTTAAGTCCAAGAGCTTCAGTCTCTACAAATCAGCACATGATAGTGCTCCAAGATAGATCCTATGAATTTTATTGTCCATTACTGAAATGAACAGTACTACCTTCTAACAATATTTATATTCTAGCATGGTCTGAACTGTGTACAGACAAACAAGAGTGA